ATCTCGTGTCCATGCTGATTGCACCTGAGGGAGACCCGGATGCACCAGACATCCCGACCCCGCGCTCTTACGCAGAGGCGATAGAGGGTCCCTACTCCTCTCAGTGGCAATCAGCCATGGACGCAGAGATGGCATCCTGGAAGTCCACAGGCACCTACGTCGACGAGGTTCCCCCTCCTGGGGCGAACATCGTCAGTGGCATGTGGATTTTCAGGGTGAAGCGGCCGCCGGGTTCTCCGCCTGTCCTCAAGGCGCGTTACGTTGCTCGAGGCTTCAGTCAGCGACAGGGAGTTGACTTCTTCCAGACCTTCTCCCCGACCCCGAAGATGACCACTCTTCGGGTTCTGCTGCACGTTGCTACTCAGCGTGACTACGAGCTTCACTCTCTTGACTTCAGCACTGCTTTCCTACAGGGCAGCCTGCACGAGGAGATCTGGCTGCGCCGCCCACCTGGCTTCACTGGGTCGTTTCCTCCTGGTACCCAGTGGAGCCTCCGGCGGCCAGTCTACGGTCTCCGCCAGGCGCCCCGCGAGTGGCACGACACACTGAGGACTACGCTTGCGGCTCTTGGGTTTCCTCCTTCTACTGCTGACCCGTCGCTGTTTCTGCGCACCGACACTTCGCTGCCGCCGTTCTACATCCTCGTGTACGTCGACGACTTGGTCTTTGCCACTGCTGACACTGAGGGACTCGCCCACATGAAGTCGGAGCTGCAGAAGAGACATACGTGCACAGACCTGGGTGAACTGCGCAGCTATCTTGGCTTGCAGATCACCCGGGACAGAGCACGGCGCACCATTACCTTGACTCAGACACACATGGTGCAGCAGGTTCTTTAGCGCTTCAACTTCACGTACTCCTCGCCTCAGGCCACTCATCTGTCTACTCGCCACTCGCTCTCAGCTCTGCCTTCGGATGAGTCCGTAGAGCCGAGTGGCCTGTACCCAGAACTTGTTGGCTGCCTCATGTACCTGATGACCTGCACTCGACCTGACTTGGCATACCCTCTTAGCATCTTGGCTCGCTATGTTACTCCTGGGAGACATCGACCAGAGCACATGGCTGCCGCGAAGAGGGTGTTGCACTACCTGTGCAGTACGTTGGGCATGGGGCTCGTGCTTGGAGGACGGGCTCGAGTTGTCCTCACTGGTCACGCAGACGCTTCTTGGGTTGACGACTTGGCTACGCAGCGGTCGTCACAGGGTTACACCTTCAGCCTTGGTTCCGGCTCTGTTTCGTGGCGGTCTACCCGCTCGTCCTCTGTTCTCAGCTCCAGTTGTGAGGCTGAGATCTACGCTGGGGCCATGGCTGCACAGGAGCTACGCTGGCTCACCTACCTGCTGACTGACTTGGGAGAGGCGCCTCGTTCTCCTCCAGTTCTGTACGTCGACAACAAGGCCATGCTGGCCTTGTGACAGGAGCACAAACTGGAGCACCGAACGAAGCACATTGCTCTGCGCTACTTCCTTGCTCGAGAGTTGCAGCAGCGTGGTCAGCTTCGTCTTGCTTACGTGGCCTCTCGGGCCAACACTGCTGATATCTTCACCAAGGCACTTCAGCCTTGTGATCATCAGCGTTTCTGTACTATGCTAGGCCTTGTGCCTGCAGGGCCTCACTTACTCACCTCTTGTACTGTGATCTATATATACCTGCACATGCATGCTTGCCCTTGTTAGGTTGAGATCACTGTCTTGCTTGTTCACCTTGATTTTTAATCCTGCATGTGAACTGGCCTTGTGGCCTTGAACTTGTGCTCAGAATGTGTGGTGACGTTGTGATCCACCCTGAGCTTGACCTTGTCTTGTTCTCTTGTTTGTCCCCCACTTTGCCTATGGGGATATGTCAGAACCATATTGTAGGCTGTAGTGGGGTTGACAATATAGGGTACAACACTTTTAGGTTTGCATATTTGTACCCACCTTTTTCCTAGTTCATTCATTCCTCGTACAATTCTCACAGGTGGCACGACACTCTTCGCTCCATGCTTCGTGACCTAGGGTTTCGCCTGTTAGAATACTAAGAGTAGATTAAGAACCATAGTTTAGGGTTTAAGCACAAGCTAGGAACAAGAGAGAGTTGTCCAAGCAAGAAGGGGTTTGCACTATGTGAAGATAGGTACAAATAGATGAGAAGCAAGCTAGGAGTGGTGCACCACAACACTGAACACATATGTGACTACACTACAGCTAGACTACATGCACTTATACAAAACATATGCAATATATGTTCTGACATCGCCCTTCCTCTGCCGACCCGTCACTGTTTATTCGTGCCGGCTCCACTCCTTTCTTTATACTCGTCTACGTCGACGACTTGGTCTTTGCTACACCAGACAGAGCAGCTCTGGCTGAGATGAAGTCTGAACTGCAGAAGAGACGCACGTGCACTGACCTTGGTGAACTGCAGCGCTACCTTGGCCTGCAGATCACCAGGGACAGAGCCGCTCGCACCATCACGTTGACGCAGTCACACATGGTGCAGCAGGTCCTTCAGCGGTTCGAGTTTCAGTTCTCTACCACACAGCCCACTCCTCTTGTTGTGGACCACAGACTCACCGGTCCCTTCTCCGACGAGCCCTTTGAGCCCAGTGGTCCCTACCCAGAGCTTGTTGGCTGCCTCATGTACCTGATGATTTGTACTCGCCCAGACCGCGCCTACCCTCTTAGTGTCCTCTCTCGCTTTGTTGGACCTGGGAGGCACCGTCCCGTTCACTGGACGGCTGCCGTGAGGGTGGCAAAGTACCTGGCGACTACATCAGGCATGGGGCTTGTGCTTGGAGGGACTCGGCAGTTGAGCTAACTGGCCTCTGTGACTCTTCTTACGCTGACGACGTGGAGACTCGGCGCTCGACCCAGGGTTACTGTTTCAGTCTGGGAGCTGGGGCTGTGTCGTGGAGGTCCACATGGTCGTCGTCGGTGGCTCTGTCCAGTGTAGAGGCAGAGATCTACGCCGGTGCTATGGCTGCTCAGGAGCTTCGCTGGTTGACCTTCTTGCTCGCTGACCTTGGTGAGCGACCTCGCACTGCTCCGACCTTGTTCGCTGACAACAAGGCCATGATTCTCTTGTGTTGCGAGCCTCGACTGGAGGCCAGATTGAAGCACATCGTCGTTCGGTACTTCCTTCTGTGTGAGCTACAGCGACGCGGCCAGGTGCGGCTGGACTTTGTGGCATCAGAGGCCAATACTGCCGACGTCTTCACCAAGGCCTTGGCGCCTGGTAATCACCACCGGTTCTTTGTGTAGTTAGGGCTTGTTGAGGCAGGTCCTCGGTTGCTGTAGCCTTGTTGCTTGCTCTACTCGTAGTAGTTTGCTATTATATATCCTAGTGAACTCTTGAACTGGCCTTGTGGCCGCTTGCTTGTGCTCGGAATTTGTGTGGTGTCCTTGAGATCCACCCTGAGCTTGTTTTGCTTCTTGCATTGACTGGTCTTGTGACCGTTTGTTCACCCTGCTTGCTTTGATGCCCCTCACTTAGCCTATGGGGTGTGTCAAATGTTGATATTTGTGATAGGCTATAGTGAGGTGCTCTTTAGTTAGTACAACTCAGTTAAGGTATGCTATTTTTATCACCCACATTCCTAATCTCATCATTCCGTTGCATTCCTACTTTGAGAAGCATGCCATACGGAGTACAACTTGCTAGGGTTTGTTATTTGTACCTCATTATTGCAAGTCCATTTCATTCCGCTATTCAGACATGATCGTCGTCGTCGTATTCGTCGTTGCTGCCGCCGCCGTCGTCGTGGTCTCCTCGTCGTCGTTGTCTCATCGTCGTCGTCGTCGCCGTCGTCGTCGTCGTTGTTGTTGTTGTTGTTGTTGATGATGTTGTAGTGTGTTTGTGTTTATTTTTTTATAAATTTAGATTCAGTTTTTGTTAGAGAGCTAATATGCACACGCAACAAATGTAAAGCATTTGTTGTTTTGTGTTGTCTGGTAGGACTCGATTGCTAGGGGTGGCTTGTCGGTTGCGCGGGTAAGGTTTCGGCGTTTTGTCCATCACCGTGCGGCTTGGACGGTGCTCGTTGCTTTTGTGTTGGGCTTACGTCGTCCCCTTGTACTCTAGTGCGCCGCTACCGATGGATACCGCGTTTCGTCACTTCAAATTTCGTCCGCAACCGCCTTCGCAACACCGCTTCTCTTCCTTACGTGAAAGAGTTTCGCAGCTCTGGTTTCACCGAGTCCATAACGGTACGACGGCTGGGCCATCAATTGCGAAAGCAGCGGATAGAACTTTCGCTTCACAATTCTTTTTTATCGCAGTTGCAGTCACGCAACCACCTGACACACAACACCCTCCCAAGCACTGGTCCAGAACCTCCTTGCAGCTTGCCTCAATTTCCCATAATCGTCGCAGATCCTGCTTAGCTCATTAGTCCTTCATAGTGCAATGCGGTCGCAGCAAGGATTGGACTCTGAACCGAATGAGGAGAGTTTGGAGTGGTGGCCTTGAATAATCACAAACTTCCAAGAGCTACTCGACGAACGAAGTCGGCTGTCGCGAACGTCTGAGTAGGACTTCGAACAGAAGGTCTTAGGCAAATTTCGAAGCCGCTGACAGTCTGACGTAGCGAAGTCTCCTACTCGTGGTTGCTGTAGCGGACAGTCGCATTCAAGACGTCTCAAAACTCACCGCGATCGCACGGAAGTCCACTGATGGGCTCGTGCGCGGCTGGGGCATGCGTCTCCCCCCTCGACGCTATAACGGCCCACAGGCACCTTCACACCCGCGCGCACAGCGCGGAAGCCCTCGCTACAGTCACAGCGTTCCACGACGCAGCAATGGGTGGTTGTAATCAACAGGCAAACCAGAGCTCACTCGTTATCGATATCTGCGATACTGGATCACTCGATACAGGCGTGCTTTCAGCGCAGGACGCAAACGCGTGGGGCTCTGCACCATCATGGCTCCAGCCAGCAGGGACAGCGGCAGCAGCAGCAGCAGCAGCGTTCTACGGGCTTGGCGATCACTCTCGCAGCTTCGCCGGCGCTGCATCCGCGCCGATGGCCCAAGCGCGAGTCTCTCCGTCGGCAGCGCACTTCTCGTATTCCACGCCGCCCAGCCCACTCTCTCTGGACGGCAAGCCGCACTCGTTGGAAGGTCGGGTCAGCAACCCTCCTCACGCGCAGCAAGACGCTGGTGTGGCGGAGGCGGCGGAGCTGACGGCGGACCTAGGCGCGATGGGCAGAGACGAGGAGCTGGCGGAAGAGGGGAGCTGTGAGGGCGGAGGGGGGTTGGAGTGGCGGCGAGTGGTGGCGATGCTGATGTCGGACACGAAACACGCGATGAAGACTGTGGATTGCGTCATGGGCGGGCAGGGCGGGCAGGACGAGCAGCAGCAGCAGCAGCAACAATGCGACGAGACGCGAAACCAGCAGCTGTCGTACCAGCATGTTGATACGCATCCAGAACAGACGCAACTTTATCATCATGATCACAACCTCCGCGACGATAACGAGAAACAGCACCCGCGGCTCGGGAATGACACTGCGCAGTGTCACCATCGCAACTGGCAGGCGACCCCATCCGCCTCATCTCCGCTCAAGCTCGTTATACCCATCCCGCGACACCACGTTGAGACCCACTCCGCAGCAACTACCACAGCGACACACGTCGGCGATGCCATGGTCGGTCCAGCCTCCAGCGATGGGCTCACGGCCCACCAACTGCAAATCACGCCTCAACTGCAAATCACTCCTCCACTGCAAAGCCCGTGTTCACAACACCAAGTCTATCCTGCGCCATCTCCCTTATTCTCGACTCCTGTCGGCGACTCACCACCGTCGAACTATCGACCCGAAATCGGTAGCGACGGTAAGGCGCGCCGAGTCCCGCCTCGACACTGCGAACGGAGCCTCCAGCCGCTCAAGCTGTCGCTGACTGAAGCTCGCCTGCACGACCTGCTTGGCTCGGAACAGCCTGCGTCGGAGGGATGGCGAAGCAAGTCGAAACGACGCGAGGAACTAACAGTGGGGTCACCTCGCGCTCAAGTGATGTCGCCTGGCGTGCAGATGGTGTCGCCTGGCGACGGGTTCGCGTCGCCTACAGGCCTGACGTCCTCGCCTAGCGTTCGAATGGCGACGTCCCCTGGCCTACAGTCGCCGCCAACAATTCTGCTCGACGACATGAGCGCACGGAGTGGGCGAAGCGCACCAAAGCGAAGGCGCGGACATTCTGGTTCTTGGGAGGTACGTCTCAGAGTGACTTGCTATCTGAGTACCAACGCGGTTGACTTTGTTGCGAGTCGCGTTTTTTCTCGACTAGTAGTTTCTACGTTTCACGCTCTTCCGTTACCCCCCCTTCCGCATTCCCTCAGGCTCGGGGGAGTAGCGCTTCCCCAGGTGCCCATAGAGCCGCGGTTGCGCAAGAGGAGCGTTCTGCAGGAGCAGTCAGCGCGACACCCGCTGCTGCCGCCACCCCATTTGAGGGGCCTGATTGGCTGCACCACCTGCACTCGGGCAAAACGCGGCTTCGTCATCTAACATGTTACCATTCGACTGTACACCGTTTACCATCCCTAATTCCTCATCTTGCGCTAGGTCTGGTGAGCGTCAATCTCAAATACTAAGTTAACGGCTTTCGTGTGTACTCTGGCTTTTATCGTTCTGAGCAGCTACGGATGGAGACGACCAAGGATCGCATTTCGCTGCTACGACAACTCGTCGCACCCGCACTAACGAAGGTAACAAAAAAATGGAATGATAGTATCAGCAAGTGAAGTAGGTCCTTGCTAGCAGACGCACTGCTCAATGCTTTTCCTAACGCTCCAAATCTGCTCATGTTTGCAGGGAGACACGGCAACGGTGCTTGGCGAGGTCGAACAGTTTGTGAGGGCAGTTAACGAGAAGCTCAAGGAGATCAGCAACGGTCACGAGCAGCACGCCGCGTTTCCCGCCAACGAGAATGGGGAGGGGTTGTGCGCTCCGGCTAGTGGCTGGGCACAGAATGAATTTGGGATGGATGGAGGCGTTGGTGGGCGCGATGGCGTGGGATTGGCTGCCAAGGGCCTGAGGCTGGTTACTCGACGAACCGCGGAGAACTTCGTGAATCGAGCGACACATTGTAGGAAGCTGTAACCGTTTCAACGGAGTTTGATAACTATTTGAACGAAAAGCATATTTTTGCTCTTGGTTCAGCTAGTTACCTTATTTCTACTCTCACATCCAATATTAAAACTGACAGCTGCGTAGTCTTTTTTATTCCGTTGTGAAAGGCATTTAGATTAGCGTAATTTTATTTTTACTTAGAAACTAACTCTTCTCGATTTATATGAAACTGGCCAGTGCCTTCACGAGATTTTTGTTCTTCAAATATTCATTTTGTCCATTGCAAGTGCACTGCCTGCTTTAATATTTGTTACGGGTGCAATGAATCGAGGTAGCGAGGATTGCACTAAGGTGTCAAACGAGTACAAAATGTGAGTGAAGGCATGAGCGAACATTTATACGCGAAACATGCAAACGGTAACGCGGTACGTGTGAGCTAGCTGGTGCTAGGCTGGCATCGAGGCTCAGGCTAGTCCCGGAGCGTAGGCCGACACGGCCGGGCCAGCGGTGCATGGTTTGGTGAAACAGTGCGCGTGAAGTCGGCGAAGCCCCGTTAGCAGTAACGGACGAACAACGGCTGCTGCTGTACGCGATGTTGCAGGATGCGCTAAGGAATGTCGAAAAAATTCATTACACTACCTCCCCCCTCAAGAAGCCCCCTCCGCTACGCGAGTGCGTGTATATCGCGGAAACCCCGGCTCCTCAGGTACACTTGCAGGGCAGGGTGGTTTTCAATGTTGGCCAGGGGCACCCAGCTATCCTTAGTTGGTGTGCGGTCCTTCCAGCGAACGAGGAACTCGATCCTCCTGATTTCCGTAGGGTGTCGAATCCGATGGCTCAGAATTTTTTCGGGCTCGATGATCGGCTCCGATGCAGGGTGAGTCATGGATGGCGGGCAGTGACGAGGCAGTTGGCTTGTGGTTGGGATGTAGGGGCTGCGGAGATAACTACTACAACGGGAGCTAGACTACGGGCTAGACACGGGTGCTCGTGTGATCTCTGCCTTCGTTGGTCCTTAGTCGTTTTCCTAGTGCACACACTGCTTGCTAGTTCACAGGGCAAGTTGGCAAGAGTTTCACTAGAGAAGGTTGACAACAATGGTACAATGAAGTTGGCATGGCAAGACTACATCAGAGCTAGCATTCAGGTCGGTCGACTGCCAGCACAGCATGGTCGACCGCGTTCCAGCACGACTTGGTCGACCGCGCTCCAGCAGTGCAAAGTTGACAGCGTGCCAACGCTGCAGGTTGACGGCGTGCCAGCGTTGCTCCCGTAGAACAGCAGCGCACCTACTTCACAGGTGCTCGTAGATGATTGGAGGGCTAAGCCTCGTCACCTGAACAGCGCACACACCAAGTCATCTTCGTGCTGACGGCTCCACCTGATCCGCCACGTCGACCTCGGGATACCACCACCGAGGTCGGACTCGCCAACTTCGCCTGGGCGACCGTCGCACTCCTTCGCAGAACCTCGTCACCCAGGTATCCTGGTCGACCGGGCAACCATGTCGACCAGCTGCTCCTGTATGTGCTCGTCGACCTCCGAAGTCGACGACCACACCAAGTCGACCTCACCAGGTCGACCACTCCTCTGGTCGACCAGCTCCAGGTCGACGTCACTCCTGGTCGACCAGCTCCACGTTGACCAGCGCAGTTGTCAGCCGACCACCCAAGTCGGCTACCCGAAGTCGGCGTCACCAAGTCGACGCCCCTTCTACGTCGGCGCCGACTTCCAGACTGACCTCTTGAAGTCGGCGACCTCCCAAGTCGGCGACCTTGCAAGTCGGCGACCTTGCAAGTCGGTGACCTTGCAAGTCGATGACCTTGCAAGTCGGCGTCGACTTCCAGGTCGACGTGCCACATCGCCGACCACCAGTTGAAGTCGGCCGCCGGCTTCCCAAGTCGGCGGCATTGCAGTGGCCCCGTGCAAGTCGACCAACCCCGTCGACCAGCTCGCCCAAGTCGGCGTCGCCCACTGCTGCAAGTCGGCTGTACCTTCCGTACACCCCACCACGAAGTCGGCTCCGCCCAAGTGTGGACGGGGCCAACACACAACTCCCGTTGACAGGGGCGAAGCAGGCTGACGTGGAATGATGGGCTGATGTACCAGTCTGTCGGCAAAAGTAAGTGGGCGGTCACTGGGGTGATCATGTGGCTGATTTGGAATGATCCGCAGTAACGCGGGCATAATTTTGGTACGACGGGCAGTCTTAAGTTTTGTGAGTCGAACAGTATGTAATCTCCTGAGTGGTACGTGACTGGGCGGCGGTGGCGGCCAGCGTTGCGTTTTGCGATGACATTGGCCTTGTTAATTGCTTCGGCGGCTCTGGTGCGGGCAGCTTGAAGAATCTCGGCGAATTGTTGTGCACGTGGTGTTGGGTTGTCCGGACTCGCCGTCATGGGCACTTTAGGGTTTTGGCCGTAGTTCAGGTAGAACGGGGACTGTTGCGTCGTCGCTGACGTGGCGTTGTTGTAGGCGAACTCAATCAGCAGCGGCTGCTGCTACCAAGTCGTCGGGTCGTCACATGTGGCCCGATTCAACTACTCCATCATCTGATTGGTCCGTCCCGTTTGACCGTCGGTCTCGCGGTGGTACGATGAATTGAATTGTAGCCTGGTCCCGAACTGCTCCAAAAGGTTTTTTCCATAAGTTGCTGGTGAACTTCGTGCCGCGGTCGCTGATTATCGCGGCTGGTATCCCGTGCAGTCGAACGACGGTTGCGATGAACAGGCGAGATGTTTCTTCGACTGAGATCAATTTCTTGCACGCAGTGAAGTGAGCCATTTTCTTCAGTCTGTCATCGACTACCATTACCGCGTCGTTACCTCCAGGGTTCGAAGGTAACACTGTGACGAAATCCATGGTAACCTGCTGCCAGGCGCGCTCGGGCGGTGGAATCGGCTGCAACTGACCCGCCTTTCGTTTTCGCGAGCTCTTCATCTCCTGACACGTAGGACACGAGCCCACGTGGTGCTGTACGTCGGTCAACATCTCCGGCCAGTAGTAATACCACTGCAGTTGCTGTCGCGTTTTTTCTACCCCAAAATGTCCCAAGGTAATTCCGTCGTATGCCTCCTGCAGTTGCAGTTCCCTCAGTAGTGAGTACGCGGGTACCCAGATGTGCTTGGTGCCTGTTTTTACGTATTAGACTCCTTTAGCTTCTGCTAAATGTGTGAGAAAATTACGAGGAAAATGAAATGGACTAGGAAGTAGGTGGGTACAAGTGTGAAAACCTAAAAGAGTTGTACCCCATATTGTCTACCCCACTACAGCCTACAATATAGTTCTGAAACACCCGCATAGGCAAAGTGGGGGACAAGCAAGAGAACAAGGCAAGGTCAAGCTCAAGGTGGATCACAACGTCACCACACATTCTGAGCACAAGTTCAAGGCCACAAGGCCAGTTCACATGCAGGAGTATAGATCAAGGTGAACAAGCAAGACAGTGATCTCAACCTAGCAAGGGTAAGCATGCAGGGCAGGTATATATAGATCACAGTACAAGCAAAGTCAAGAGGTAAGCAAGTGAGGCCCGGTAGGCACAAGACCTAGCATAGTACAGAAACGCTGATGATCACAAGGCTGAAGTGCCTTGGTAAAGATATCAGCAGTGTTGGCCCAAGAGGCCACGTAAGCAAGACGAAGCTGACCACGCTGCTGCAACTCTCGAGCAAGGAAGTAGCGCAGAGCAATGTGCTTCGTTCTGTGCTTCCGTCTGTGCTCCTAACACAAGGCCAGCATGGCCTTGTTGTCGACGTACAGAACTGGAGGAGAACGAAGCGCCTCTCCCAAGTCGGTCAGCAGGTAGGTGAGCCAGCGTAACTCCTGTGCAGCCATGGCCCCAGCGTAGATCTCAGCCTCACAACTGGAGCTGAGAACAGAGGACGAGCGGGTAGACCGCCACGAAACAGAGCCGGAACCAAGGCTGAAGGTGTAACCCTGTGACGACCGCTGCGTAGCCAAGACGTCAACCCAAGAAGCATCTGCGTGACCAGTGAGGACAACTCGAGCCTGTCCTCCAAGCACGAGCCCCATGCCCGACGTACTGCACAGGTGGCACAACACCCTCTTGGCTACAGCCATGTTCTCTGGTCGGTGTCTCCCAGGAGCAACATAGCGTGCCAAGATGCTAAGAGGGTATGCCCAGTCAGGTCGAGTGCAGGTCATCAGGTACATGAGGCAGCCAACAAGCTCTGGGTACAGGCCACTCGGCTCTACGGACTCATCCGAAGGCAGAGCTGAGAGCGAGTGGCGAGTAGACAGAGGAGTGGCCTGAGGCGAGGAGTACGTCAAGTTGAAGCGCTGAAGGACCTGCTGCACCATGTGTGACTGAGTCAAGGTAATGGTGCGCCGTGCTCTGTCCCGGGTGATCTGCAAGCCAAGATAGCTGCGCAGTTCACCCAGGTCTGTGCACGTGTGTCTCTTCTGCAGCTCCG